GAGGAGAGAGAGAGAGGAACGACTCCTTGTAAGGAACAGCATGGCTTCCAAAAAGCTGGTTTTCCCAAGAGTTTGTGGGTTAGTTCATATTCTGCTACTAGAGAGAGAGTCTACATGCTCTTAAGGTTGAAAGAGGGAGATTGATTGGCGGTGATATTTGGTTAGGAGAAGGGGCTTAGAAGGGAAGATTGCAAGGGGCTTGGCTGATGGTTTGAGAGAGGTATATCTCTTATAACCCATGACCTTGTTTTTTATTGTGGTATGGATTTTGACTAGTTGAGGCCATGGACGTGACCTATTTGGTGTGAATAACTTAAATCTTGTGTTATTGAGGTATGCTTTTTTGTCTTTTGGAAAAATCAAGAGACCCCTAGCAGAACTCTGCCAGTGCCAATCCCGGTCATGCCAATCTCAAGCCCAAAGAAAGGAGGGTTGTGTTAGGTTGGCAGCCAGAGAAAAACTTTGCCACATCTATTTTAGGTAGCCAACTCCAAATTGTTGGGATAAGTCTCAGATGATGAGGATGAAGTGACCCCCAACATAAAAGACATATCGTTATAAGGTGATCATATGCTAGATGGGGTGTTCAACGCAGGACACATGCAATGCTGTCAATAAATTTTAAAAAACTTATAAAAAATAAGAATGCATAGAAAAAGCAAGATTGTGATCTACATGATAGTAGACCCTTTAATCTATTACTTACTTGTCTTGGTCGCCTATTAGCCTTATAGTTTGTTGTCTTGCATGCAAATAAGGTAATCCATTCCGTCCCATTTATTTATTTATTTATTTTGAGAGCGTTAACATTGCCGTCACATTTATTAAATTAAATGAATAAATCCAAACAGCCAATTAATCATGACAATTAACATAACATCTTAGGACCAAAGGTATTTAATGATCACAACCACAACCTCACAGCCATAGGTACATATTAGTGCACTTCATAACTGTCAAACTCCAAAGGCCAAAAGTTCATTATATATGACATAACAAATGATAAACATGTTCAAGCTCAGTGAGACGAACGTACAAAATTTACAGGAAGAGCATACGGGGATCAATCTTTTGGACCCGTTATTGCTGTCCATATCAAACAAAATTTGACTCTTACTTCTTAAGGCTTGTGTCTGTCTACCCACAAATTTCCAGATCAAAATGCGAGCATTGAGGTGGCCTTTTGCTGTCCTCCACATAGCCAACTTCTGCAAACTGCAGACTGGGATTTACAGAACAACATACGGAGATCAGTTTTGTTGGATGCCTTACCAGTGTCGAAATTGAACAAAATTTTGGCTCTTGGTTCTTAAGAAATCTGTCTATCTACCCACGAAGTTCCATATCAAAATCAGACCAGTAAGATGGGTCTTTTGCTAGCCGTATCCCAGGCAATATCAACAGACTACAGTTCGCTGCACAGAATTGGCAGGGTGCTGACATTCATCAGGTTGGACCCCTTATCAGCGTCCAAATCAAATGAAAATTTGGTTGTAGGTTCTTAAGACATGAGTCGATCTAGCTACAGAATTTCAGCTTTTGATCTGATACCATTAGGGTCCCCTTATGTGAGCTGCCATCTAGGTGATTCTGTTGACTGCAGCAAATTGCAATTTTCGTCAGCATCATATGAAGATCGAAATGGTTGACCCCTTATCAGATTCCAAATCCCAAGAAACTTTAACTAGATCTTTCGGATATATTCCTTCATATATCCACCAAGTTTTAGATAAAACAAAGGATATTAGGGTTGTCTTTTGGGCCAGTTGATTATTCACCACTATCATATGCAGAGGATTGCAGTTCTAAGCCATATATCGATACCAGAACCATTGAGTCCTGGGATCAAGGCCCAGATCTGTTGTCCTAGGACGTGCTCCATCGCTTTGTGTGTAGGGATCCATCTCCTATTTTTCCTTCTCTTGATCCTGTACTTTGATCTCTCTTTCTTTCTTTCTGGTTTTAGTTCTTTCATTGTTTTTTATTGGACCAAGCAGCAGGGTCCTCTCATGATTCTCACATACTCCCATCCTACTCTTCATTCTTCTTTCTCTTTTGTCATGTATATCTCATATATAGAGAAGATGAGTTGTCACGTCCAAAAGAGAGAAGGTGGGTTTTTTGGTTCTCCTGCTCATCCGAAGGTTCATCTTTCTTATAACTTCTAGAGAGAGAAGATAGGTTGGTTGTAAAACTCATCCAAAGACATCCGCCTTCCTCATGTGAAACCACGTGACCTCTTGAACGCTTTAGTATAATAACTATGTATGTTTCATGCTTTAGGAGAGAGAACAAATTTGTTATTCTTTCGATTACACTCCTAGGATATAGCCATATCAATATTTCTCTTCCTGAGTTATTGGGTTGCATTCTCAATAACTCATTTAAAACCACGACAATATGTACTAATTTGTTCTCCAAGTGACAATAAAATTTCAAGCATCAATTGTGAATAACGATTATGAAACTAGATCTTGTATCGCTAATCCATACATGTGAGACCGAAAAGAGGAAATTCACTTAACATTGTGAAACTGAATCACAGAGCACTTCATGTGTTATTGAAAATATCTCTATATATCTTGATAAACTAGGGAGTTGTAAACTAACATCAATGGATGCATCATGCTCCATATTTCATATGGATCATCAACATAGCATAACTTCGACATCCATCATAAGAGGTATAATGATGCTAAGCATTAATTAAGGGGAAATACGGGTTTTATAAGAAGAGAATTAATCTTGTATTTTGGAAGAAGTAGGGTTTTCGGTTGGAGGAAAATATGAGTATGGAAAGAGAACATCACTACGAAGGGGTTTAAATAGCATGAGGGATGATGATAACACATCATCATAAAGGTGTCATAAGGTCATATAATTAAATGTCCCATGTTGCAACATCACAACGTGGCTATTTAAGATAAGGTAAATGTGAAGAGAGAACCATGCTATTCAATTAAAATGTTACAAGAATCCTAATTTGGTCCCCAATACCAATATTAAGCAAAATGGTCCATCGTAATAGAGATCTCATGACCACAGGTGAAAAATAGTCCCTAAACTATCATCATCATCATCATCATATGAGCCTTATCTCAACTATTTGGGTTGGCTACACGAATCATGTTCCACCATTCTGTGATATTAAGGACCATACCCTCAGTTAGACTATAAATCATTCCTTCATGTCCTTTTGGGCCCTCCCCTTACCTTTTTAGAGTCTTCTACTTGAACCAAATCGCCCCTCCTAAGCTGGTCCAGCATGTTGCTTATAAGGAACACCCTAGCATAAGTATATAACATTGGTTCAGGATTCATGAAAGAGATGTGGCAAAATTTTACACTAGCTGCCCACCAAACACAACCCTTCACCTTTTGCCGGGCTTGGGATTGATGTGACTTGCTTGTTATCAACCATGGAGGACTTATAGTCTCTAAACTATATAAATGGGAAAAGTTTAAATTGTTTTGAAAGACTAGTTTAAATTTTATTAACAATCGCCCACAATTTCAAAACAACTAGAATCACGCGAAACACATAAGGAAGGATAGTGCATAAGTCAAGGTGTCTACTCAAGAATGTCACTTGCAAAGGATTTGTGTAAAACTCTAGAGACAAAATGTATAGAGGAAGATGTGGGAGAAAGAAGTATCTAATTAGTAGATCTTTGAATTTTAAGATTACAAACGAAAGATTGGTGTTGGCTCAAGTCCACAATTTTCAAAATATAGCAAATGAACTTGCATCAAATAGCATTAAATTTGATGAGTGCTTCCATGTGGGCTCGAAAATAAATAAATTACCGCCCTCATGGAAGGACTTTAGAAATACGATAATGCATAATGCAAAGGATTTGAGCTTGGAACAACTAATTACTCACTTGAGAATTGAAGAGGAAACCGGACCCCAAGATATGAAAAAGCATAAGTCCCAGGTGGTCGCAAGAGCATATGTACTCAAAAGGTTCGAAAAAGAAAAAGCCAAAGATTGAAAAAGGAATCAAGATTGAAGAGAAGAAAGAAGAAAAGAAAGGGAACAAAGCTCCAAACCAAAGGTTGCTCAGGACAAGGAAAGGTAACCATGATATGCTATTTTTGCAACAAAGCCGGTCATGTGTAGAAATTCTACAGACTTCAAAAGAAGCAACTGGCTCCAGCCAATATGGCCGAAGAAAGATTTCTACAGACTTCAAAAGACAGCACTGTAGAATGGTGGATAGACTCAGGACCCATCAGACATGTCTCTAATATTAGAAACATGTTTGGGACTTACAAAATGGTGGAGGAGGATATTGTCCTTTACATGTAGTTGGTAAAGGGACAATTGAATTGAAATTCACGTTCGGCAAATTCCTTACTCTTCTAGATGAGTATCATAACCCCGAAGTCTA